TATATATATATATATAGAGAGAGAGAGAGAGAGAGAGAGAGAGAGAGAGAGAAAAGAGAATATGATTGTATGTTTTCTATCCCACCAAACACTTCTTTAAAGTATTTAAGGCTTTCCATATATAGAGTATCTTTTAGAATTTATCAAGCACAGATGCTGAAGGTGAATTGTACTCTCATCTAAATGAAACTTATGGAATGATTTGAGCCTTAAACTTCTCAAGCAATTGGAAAAGAAATAAAAGCACTACTTAGTACATGAGTTCATACCTAATGAGTGTAGCTGGAACCACAGGATTCTTATTACTACATCCTTTAAGGCTGCCGCACAGAGTAACAAAATTCACTGTGTTTATAAATAGTACCCGAGTTGCCTGGAAGGGGAAAAAAAAAAAAAACAGAAAACCATTAAAATTAACTTACTATAATCATGACTTGCAACTCTGAAGACCTAGAGTTCTGTTTTGTTGTTGTTGTTGTTGTTGGCAGCACTGGGGTTTGAACTCAGGACTTCACACTTGCTAGACAGGCACTCTACCATGTAAGCTACTCCACCAGCCCCAAGATCCATTATTATATTACTGAACTACCTAGGGGGACTTTCCCAACTGGTCAGACAATATTGACACCTGAGAGCCCTCTGCTCGTCTCTACTCCACTTTAAGAACATCAGTTACTGCTTCTGTTAGAGACAAGGCATGAACCCTGGGCTGGGGAAAAATGGAGTTTGCACAGCCTCTCCATGTAGAAATTTGCACAGCCTCTTCTACCATAATTTCCCCAGTATCTGGTGTCTTGACCTTTGTTCTCCCATCTCCTTGAAGACTACAACCTGCTGTGTCCGCATACCAGTCCCCTGATGCAAAACTAGATAAAGTACCAGAACTCTTAGGAGACTCCCTGATGCCAAATTAATCAATACCTTAGATAAGGTGTCCTGTCTTGATGATTCCAGAACTGATGTGCTATAATTAAGCTTCATTAGCCTTAGGAAAATCAGCCCACCAAACCTCATTCCTTTTACCTTGCATCAAGAATTGTTAAAGCTTGATTTTTACCTGAGTTTTTTCCTTGTACTCACCTATAAAATAAACACTCTGGCTCAGGTAGGCGCTCATGTTTCCCACCAGGAACATGCAGCCCTCCTGTCCCCAGCTTTTCTGTTTTATGTCTGTATGTCTGTGTGTGTCTTATTTCTCATTCCCTGCCGCTGCATACCTACACAGGTCGCGGGCCTCTTTGTCTTTTTCTCTTCTCTTCTCTTCTCTTCTCT